CTCTCGTAAAGCAGTGTGGCTTCAACATTCTCACCCACCCACCTTTTTCACCGTCTGACCTTTCCCTTTTTTTTTTCAAAATCTGAAAAAAAAATTCTCAAAGGACATCGTATCCATAGAGATAAAGACGCTATATCTACAGTAGGAATGGTTTGAGTCCCCTCCTTTGAGGTAAAATTAGCAAGAAATTGGCGGCCGAAGTTTGATTATTTGTTTAGCGTAAGAGTCCAAGAAAAACTGAAAATTTAATCAAAGTTTTTCCAATATAATTCACTCTGGGGTGAGTTCTTAAATGGACATAAAAGATGTTGAGCTAAAAAAAAAACCAAAAAAACTTGCCAACCCAGCAGAAAAGTGTCAGTTTCTTTAATCTCATTATTTTTACGAGAGCCTGATTTCGTGACGCTGCCTCACATTTCACCATGTTTTAAGTCAATGATTTCCCCATGCCCACAGACTTGTGAACGCGTCGGTGGCCTAGTGGTTAGGCTACCGGACTCATAATAGTGAGGTTGCGGGTTCTAGGGTTCGAGCCTCAACTCGGTCCGATGTTGTGTCCTTGGGAAAGGCACTTTACACGAATGTCCCACTTGGCTCGGTCCGACGTTGTGTCCTTGGGAAAGGCACTTTACACGAATGTCCCACTTGGCTGGGTCCTTTCGGAGACGGACATTTTACACTGGAAGGCCCCGCCTCTGAACTCTTTAGTACCCGTGGGATTCCACAATTTTACGCACCTGATTTGAGGCGGTAAAGGGGTGTTATGTTAAAACTGCTCTCATACGATCAAAAATTAATGAATTTGTTTGTGTTAGTACTCAAACTATTCGTAATTGGACATAGAATCACATTATGGGCGAACTGTGTTAGTAACTGTAGCACAGAGTAGGCAGTAGAGGGGGAAAATAGTGAAAAGTGAGAAAAAATAACAAAAAATGAGACTGAAAGGTTCAACTCACCAGAAAAATGCCCGTACAATCCATCGAATAGGCAGTAAAAAGTGAAATCCAATCACAGTTTATCCATTTAGGAGAAGGTCCAGGCCAAATTTCAACTGTATAGCAGCTAAACTGTTCATTTCACAAGCAAATGAAAATTGTCATGAAAACGAACGAAAATGTATCCTAATAGTGTTGAAAGGGGCGTTAAACCTTTCTGTCCCCGTCGTTGTATGCAAGAAAAATTCTGAAATTCTGCAAACTGAGCCCGAATATGTGGAATTATGCTATTCTGTTAATTTTAACAAAGAATGACGAAGGAAAATTACCAGAAATATTTTTTTTAAATGATCAAATTTTGCTAAATTATGCGGGGTGCATAAAACCACGGGGACAGACCTATACCATTTCACCATTTCAGACTCGTGTACAAAGGGTTCCGGTGGCCGCTCGGAGATTCAGACATCTTCGATCTGAACACTCAGGACGTGGTGTCTAGGAGCATCCCACAGTTCCTACACGAGTGGGACAAGCAGAAGCTACATATGAGAAGGTAAATTTGTTTAGTTTTGGAAAGGTTTTACGGCGCTCGCAACTGCATAAGGTCATATTATGGTCGCTTTTAAGTACAAGCAGTCTAACCCAGATTTCGGATTTTTTCAGCAATCTTGACCTACACCAAAAGTGAGCATTGCCCTACCCATAGGAGAAGTTTGGTTTCATTGGTGTGTATATTTGTTTGGTTATAGAGAAAACTAACCTTGTATTTTAAAGAAACCGAGCAAGGGGCAAAAACGTTACCTTCGATTTTCTCAAAACAGCATTTTTCGGGATAGCCCCCTTGTGCTTAAAAGCAACCATATATGAGCGCGCTGGAAAAATTAAACAAGGGGTGGATGTCAACAGAATGCTGGGCGGGTTGTCCTAGCTCTGGCAGGACGAGTTGGTTTCTCCTCCTTTCGTTTCGTTTTACAAAGGTTTCACGGCGCTCGCAACTGCATAAGGTCATACTATGATGAGCCCCAAGGGGTAGATGTCAACAGAGAAGTCCAAACGGGGAATCAGGCTTACTCTGCTCACCTCTCTAGCCTCAACAGAACAGAGTCTGCTTCAACTATTATCAAGGCACCCTGGAAATAGCAGTTCACAAGAGAGTAACAAACATACAAAAGAAGTCGAGGAAGAATGACGATAATAAGAATGGGGAAAGAAGAAGCAGCAGTTCCCACTATGTTGTTCCTGCACAGTATGAGCATGACATTGATACATCAGCCCATTTACAATTGGAGCAGGTAAACGACGGCAACATGTTGTTTTTAAATGTAAGGATGTTTTTTGTTGTTGTTGTTTTTTAATGAACTGACACACTTTACACCATTTAGGATTTATTATTATTATTATTATTATTATTAA